TGAATATGTTAAGCACTCTTGTTAGGTTAAAAGGTGCAGTTTCAATCTTTATGTGCTTGACTAATTAATAACAGATGCGCTTTAAAATACACTTCAACAAAACCTCTCACATTTATTTCCCAGATGCATACTTTGCATATTGCATACTAGTATTTCAGACACATGGAACAGTTTTTACACTTGGAAATCTGTTTTGTCAGTGTCAATAAAAAGTTCTCTCCGTCTTAAGAGCAGATGACCCTTAAGAGTCACGTGACCGTGAGACACGCGGTCGCCTGATGATGTCATCACAAACCTCCAAGCCTTTCCATTTAAAGTGCTTTTCTCTGCACCGCCTTGCAAATATGGGATACATTGCCTTTACAACAATGGAAAAAGCCACATTTTTTGTGTTTCCTGAGGTTATGGAATGGAATGTTTAATTGGAAAGTGGTGTGTTACTGTGCAACGGTTATTTTTAGATATTTAGCGATTGCGGTATATAGCCTCTGCTATGCTAGTTGAACACTTGGAGAAAACATTCTGGGAAAAGATCATATAAATAACACGTAATCAATATAACATAACAAAACATCAACGCATCTGTGATTCCCAAACTCAAAGGATGTTCATTAGCAGTTGTAAATAAAGGAATGAGCATGTTGTAATGATGATGATAATGATGTGTATTTGTGTGTGCTGTTTGAAGGACACAGGCTGATCAGTTTAACGCCGTTACAGCTTCATCCAGATGGACTGATTGTTTCCTCCAGGCCTGAGCTTTAAACTCCCAAAACAAAGTTCTGTAATGCACTGACTGCAAACAATTAAGAGTCGGAGTGTATCACAGAACTTTACTTGGAAAGCCACAGCGCTGCTCGCCGATTCTCTTCTTCTCAGGGAAACCCTTCTGTACGAGAGAAACAGACACGTTACATTTCTCATTCGCATCACAAATTATTTATTTATACACTGTAGAAAAGAAATGGTGTGATCATCAATAAGTCATAGCAACATGTGTTTTTCGATTAAGTTATGAATTTTTGTATCTATCTCTCATATATATATATATATATATAAGCAAATATATTCATTTATTAGTGCTGTGGAATCGATTAATTACATCTAACATAAAAGTTGTTTACTTATATACATATATATGTGTGTGTGTATATACAGTTTACATGCACACGCACACGCACACATATATATATATATATATATATATATATATATAATATATATATATATATATATAATATATATATATATATATATTATATATATATATATATAATATATATATATATATATATATAATATATATATATATATATATTATATATATATATATATATATATATATATATATATACACACACACACACACATACATACAGATACACACTAACATATATAGAACGTAAACAAAAACTTTTATGTTAGATGTGATTAATCGATTTGACAGCACCAATATATATATATATATATATATAGGCTAATAAATAAATATAAATAATATAGCTGAACAGACCATTTGATTTGGCATACTTAAAATTAAGGCAGCAAGTGAACTTTAGTTTGAAGTTTAAGTAGGTGGCAATTTTTAACAGTGCATGGTAACAGTTATAATACTTCTCAGAATGAAAGATGATTGACAGGTGAGACTGATCAAAGCATCTCTGAGCTGGAGCTGAAAGTTAGAAACTCCTCGAGCTCAGTAATGGCTATTAGAAGAATTTAAATGATGGATAAGATGCATAAACGTGGACTCGTTCACACATGCACATAATCAGATCATGAATGATGAACACATATGGCGCGGCCTACGGTGCATATGGAGAAAAAGAGCTACGTGCACGATCCATGCAAATTAAGTGCATGCAACAAAAAAAAAACCAAAGCGCAGAAGAATAAAATGAAACGTGTCACAAAAAAAATCCGATTTAAATATTGAATGCGCCCTTCCACTCTGTCTATTTGCACAGTTAACAACTGGGGCAGCCGAGAACAGCTGACGTGTCGAAAACTGTGGAGCGGTGCATTAGTCTATCAAGATCAAGTCTGTCATCCCGGAGTATATCGAAACTTAACACACAAATATCACTTCACAAACTAAAAGAGAAGTCACAATGTTAAGAAAGGGGGAACTGAGGTTACCATATGTCATGCATTTGCACGTAACATCACGCAGACATTTAAGTAGTAGTTTACTTTCCACAGGAAAACTTCCATTCAAGTTACTTTAATGCTTCAGTGGGTGAATATCTCAATGAGTGTCGATGTGACAGGGTTTTATAAGCACACACGCACAGTCTGAGAGTGAATGCACACTTCCAGAGAGAGCTAGAAAAGAGTCAAAAGAACAACATACCTGCAGCAAATCACAGCACGAGCCAGTCGACGCTGGATAAAGTGTGTTTGGAGAAGAAGCTCTGCTGAAACACGGTCTCTGTCAGAAGAAGGAGAAGAAGAAGCCCTGTGGAGGATTGAGCAGATGAAGCTCGTGTAACTGTTGATGAAGCGCGTCCGCGTCCGTGCAGCAGCTGGAAGAATGTCGACGTGGAGCTGCCAATCGTGCGCGCGCAAACACGCACGCGCTTTGGGGGGAGAAAAAACTACGTTTTGCTGGTTTCAGGCACTGGGGTACTACTAGACTAGTACTAGTATACTGGTTAGTAATCTGTTAGTTAGTGCTGGGGATTCAGTGAGGTTCATAAGATACGTGTCAGCGCCTGAGAGAGAGAGGGAGAGAGAGAGATAGATAGATAGATTAAAGTTGCACTAAAACTTTATCTTTCCTGTTTACAATGCTCTCATCGTTTCTTTTTTTTTGTCAAATGCCTGTTATTTAGTTTTACTCTTCTCACAGGCCTAGACTTTCAACTAACCTCAAAATCAGTTGTTGTTTAAAAAACTATGATGATAATAACTATAACACATTTAGATATTTGTTTTGTAAAAATGATTTCCATCCATTTGTACACAAACTACGACTGTAATTTTAACAATTTTGCCCCAAATAAAGTTACAGATGAAATGTGAGGCATGAAGAAAACAGGGAACATTTATTTTTAGGCAATTTTCGGAGAGGCTAGCAATAGCAAGTTAGCTTTGAAAGCATGAGATCCCTCCCAAGTCAAGTCATCCTCAAAGCAGCTTTACAGAGATAAACTTACAATAATTTAAGGTAACAGAGATTGGTTTGGTTTTATAGCGGTTCTTGAATTATGTTATTTTCCAGCTAAAGTTAGTGCAACTCCCTCCCTTCAGTGCGTCTCCAAAGCCACGACTCCTTCAAAACATGAACGCGAACAGCAGAGTCTGAAAAGCGTCAATAGAGACGGCGTTAAACTCCATCATGTCTCAAAGCAGATTACATTACAATAATAATGAACATAAACAACTTAAAGAGCTCTTGTATCACCTGACTGCTGCAGATTCATTCAGGCATTGATAGTGAAACGCAATTCGAGTCACGAATCGCTCCGAGTTTAACGTCACGGGTTTCCATCTCTTCCAGATTACAGTAGTTATGGTGTGAATGAGCATAAGCTGGTGGTTTTGGTTCAGACGGCAGCTGTTTCTGACTGACGTCTGTCTAACTCTGCACAGCACGAGCGCACTGATGACGTGTGATGTCTGCATAGACGTAATATGGGGGTGGGACATGACCCCACCACTTTTTATCAGGGTCGATATTGTCCCCACCACTTTTTGAAACATTTTGAGACACGGATGTACCTAATACAACTAAATAAAAAAACCTCCAGTTAACTAGCAGAGCATTAATTTAGTTCGTTATTAAATAAGAGACGATTTAGAGCTCAAATGTGTTGTTTTGAAATCAAGCTAAGCGCTCGTTTTCGCTGCGATCAGTGGCGCGGATACAGTCTTCACTCGGACGCGCGCTAATATGTATTAGTAGATCTCATTTTAAACAAATTAAACCCAATGTAACGTTACTATTGAAATTGATTTCTAGACATCGTAATGTTATTTTTTCCTAAAATTGTTATTATACATTTATCTGATTTAGCATTTTATTAGCAACCTCCTACAACAACCCCCGATTCGATCCGAATGCAATGATTGGACGAACATTTTATGATCCTACGCCTTCCACAGAAGATATACATATAAATACATTTAAACCACTTAAAGGCGCACTATGCAAGATTTTTGGATCAAAATTTCCAAATACCACTAGAACAATGTTATATATTTTGTTGACTTGTGTACTTTACATTATCCTAAATGTTTGCTCGGAGAAATAAGCAGTTTTAACCACGACACGGACCGTCGCCTATCAATGACATCATATCCGCGTTACCCTTGATTTTCTTGGTTTTATTTTGTTGAAACCATAACGCCAAAGATGCTTTAATATATTATGTGTTTTATTAGACAGGTGAGCAACTGTTTGTATTCATCGACAGAAAACGAATCATTGTTATATATAAGCTCAACACAGTCAGTCTTTTTGTTTAAACCTTGTTTTCTTGATTTACCGCGAGTGTTTTACTGTCTAATATCGATCTCGCTCACTGCAGTGTGCAACAAGTGTCTCATATAGTAGCCGCCGCCGAGCAAACACACATGAAGCATTCCCAGACAGCAAAATGTATTTGGGCCAGGTCTTCATTAGCATTTGGCGCAGATCCGCTAAACGGACCTGGGCCGGGCTCATTCTTTCCAACGGCCCAATACCGGAACAGGTTGGAATTACGGATCAGAGACAGATCTGGGCCAGCACTGGCCCAGTACAGTTATTAATGCCATGACATGTGGTGCAGATCTGGCCCAGATCCTTGACTCATATTTTACATCTGGGGCTCATCTGGCCCTGGTCTGTGATTCATATTTAGGTTATCAGAGAATTAAGGCACAAACACCCAGACAATTTGTAATTTTCAAAAACTTTTTATTTTAAACTCATTAATTGCTCATCAGTTGGGTGTGACCGGGCACGGTGGCCACCCCCACGGTCGCATCCCAGATTAAACAACCTCATGGTATACTGGTTTATCTCGGTGTCGGTGGCTTTGTCAGACATGCGATTCTTCCTCACTGCTCCTGTAAGACGTACAAAAAGCACACAAAGCAAAGAAACAAAGAAGTAAATATTAGATTCGATATTCAAAGATTCTTTATTACATGACATTATAGTAAAATGCTTGCACAAATCAATAATAATAAATGTGACTAAAGTGGTGTGGAGTGAGTAGTATTAAGGTAAAAGAGTATCAAAACTTTAGGGCTGGTCCGAATACCATTTTTTGAGCTTCGAAGCTTCGGTAGTAATGAACATCGAATATTCGAAGCTTCGGAATCTCTATAGCCTATGTCTGTCTGTCCGTTTGCATTTGGATTATTTCGAGAGCCGTTCATCCAAATGACTTCACAAGGGAGTGCAGTGTCGTATTTGGTGCAATATAGATATAGACAGGCGAGACGCGACACGTTCAGAATTAATAAACTTTTAATAAACTACAGAACAGCGCGAGCGGGATGCGCGCGCGCCTCACGCGAGCAGAGCTTATTTGCTCCGAGAATGGACACTGCACTAGTGATTTAAAACACACATATGTCCAGGGGCGGACTGGCCATCTGTGTGATCTGGAGTATCACAGAACGGCCGGTACTCCAGGACGGCCGGCGGGCCGGCCCACCACCCGCCACACACCCAGTCATAACCTGTTCCCCCCCCCCCCCCCCCCCCACTAATCTATTTCACACTCCAGTAGTGTAGGTGGCAGCAATGCCAGCGCGGATCATTATCAGCTCGGCCCAAAAAAACTGCGATCGCGGCCGAAGCACCTGTGCGGACTGATCTCGATCACGCGAACATTTTTACTCAGAGTTGCGCGATCCACTGAGAAGCATTTCAATTCTGTGCAGAATTCTCTATCTCTATTATAAACCCACAGATGGCTGTGATTTAAGCTAGTTAAAAGCCAGATTAAACAGCGCTGATATTCTCAACATCTTGACGCAAAAAAACAGGTGAAACATTGTTCCAAGAACAAACCAGTTAGAAGACATTTCACTCCACAACTTATGAATTAACTGTAACTTAGTAAAACAAATTTTTTGGCAGAAATGTGCCTGTATTCATATTAAAAATGCTGTTATATTAATAGTCATGTAGGCCTATAAATGTAGGCTATTAAATGTAATGCAGTAATGTTTTTGTTTAGAAGTTATGGCAGTTTATTTATTTATTTTGCATTAAATATTTATACTAAATGTTTATGCTACAATAGGTTTTTAGAGAATAATATATATATATATTACAAATTTTTCAGGAATTGTTGAACCAGAATATCAAGATATTTTATTATTTCGCATATGATGGTGAAAAGTAAAAAAGTTAAAGTTAAAAGTAAAGGTAAGGTAAAAAAACACCACCATGTTATATGTATAATAAATATTTTTGAGTATAGCCCTTCTAGATTATTTTATCCCTTTAGCCCTCGCACACAAAAAGGTTGGAGACCCCTGGTATATAGTAACTATATGTTTTATAATTACAAGTTTGTGTAATTAGGGTTTCTGTAGCCAGTGACATTTCATTATTTGTATTTTATTTTCAATGCAGATATAATGGCATTGTACATTTTGTTGTTTTTTATTTGAAGACTGAGGCTTCATTAATAAACAAAACCCCAATTGTCATCATTGTTTTTAAGATATTACTTGCTGTGAATACCTTGTCTGATATAGGTTACAGTATTGTGGCATAGTATCAGGACATCCTAGTGGCTAGGGGCGAATGGCTGGATGATTTGGGAGAAAGTCCAGGGCTGTTTTTTAGCCCCAGTCCGTCCCTGCATATGTCTATTAACTTAAGCAATATTTTTAATAAGGTAGTCTAAGATTTTTCTCACTAACAAATTACTGACAAAGTAGGGTAGATTTAAATAAAGAAGCGGCGCGCCTCACGCAAGCAGTTAAGAGTAATTTAGGTTTAAATTTAAATTCAAGGTGCGAAGTTTGAAATTGCAGTGACAGATTTGAGAAGTTGCAAGTGCCTAATTGAGGTTGTACTGCGATTAAATGCAAATATATATTACAAGTTTGTGTCTGTCATTGTATTTCTGTGAAAGGCATTTTACACATTTGTGACTGCTTGTCTGCAGCTTCAAATTCAGAATACAGGTTTGTGACTTTTGTCTGCGAGTGCAAATTTCAACATTCAACTTCAGATTTTAATTTTTACAGGTTTTCATATTGGAGCTGTGAGTGTAAATGTTCACGTACAAGTATGAATATTTATTGTACAAGTTCTCAAATTCACATCTACATGCTCTAGCTAGAGTGTTGATACTCTTTTTACCTTCATAGAGTAGTGAGGGAATGAATGAGAGAGTGGTGATTAAATAAAGTGAGGGCATCTAAAATACTTACAAGCCATAATGGCCTTGGTTGGTTATGATGTTTTTGGTATCTCTTCCACCAATGGAGGCCAGCATTCCCACCTGTGGAAACAAAAGACTAAATTAGTGAGAAGTAAAAGATTGATAAATGATAGAGGGGTATGGGCAACATATTCATAGACAGTAGGCCTATATTCTGATTTACAGGATAACAAAAGTAGATATCCATAAATCCCTCTGTAATTATTTCTCCATCTAATGTGAACACAATGAAAAAATAATTTCACAAACAGCTTGTTTAACAAATTAATAAAAGAGGCACATCGCAGTGGCTTAGAAGACGTGGGTAATATGGTTTATCCATTTTGCAACACGAACTGGAGGTAAGCAACAGTAATTTGCAGGTAGTTTGATAGCTAACGTATCGACATATCATATGTCGCACTCTACAGCCGGTATAATACAGTGAGAATTAATATGGTACTGACGTCGAACTAGTTTAATGTATTTGGACGTGGGAAGTCATTCATTTGTTATTGTTGCAGTACGTTAGCTAGCAGCGATCACCGCTGGTAACGTTAGTGGGTTAGCAGTTATATGATTTGCAGCTAACACACAATGGACACGATATTCAGCAATTTTGGTGAATAATAAGCAAATATCACCGATTCAGCCTTAAAGCCTATGTTCACATTAGTTGTGGATGTTTAAAAGAACCTATACTACCAGCTAACCGCCTGCTATACTACCGTTAACTTACCCAGCTTATCTGACACGTCTCTCAGGTTGTCAGAATGTCAGTGTAAACGTTTGTAAACTTTTATTTTTAATATAATTATGTAACAGACTAATATGACATCAACACCAGTTTACTTTTATAATGTACTTACTAAATTATACTTGTATAATGCACTTACCAATTAGCAAAGACGGTGCAGCCTGCAGTCTTCCACTCTTGTCAGCGGCTTTATGCGGGGTGGCGCCCGCGCCCGTCCGGTCTGCGCAGCTTGCGCGGATCCGGTCCACACCCGCCGGGCGGACTCAATTCAGTTGTGGCGCGTATGGTCTGCGCAGCTGTCCCGGATCGGCGACGCACCCGCCGGACGGACTGTCACAGTCGAAGCTACAGACAAGTCTGGCGCAGAGTTGGTGCAGATCTGCATATTGAGTGCGACTGCTGCGCGAATCTACTGATTCGAAAACGGACCTGGCACAGATGTAAATGCTGTCTGGGTTATAACAGCTTTCATCACACTCAAATGTGTGTAATATGATAAACAGCGCTGCGTTTCCCACATACGCATGACGGATGAAGAGGAAGCGTGTAATAAAAGCTCCACCGCTCGTGTGTCGCGCTCGTCTCTCATTAGCAATCGCTCGTTCCGCTACAACGGCTTCCATAACGTTAATAAATCTTTCATACATTACCGCTCATCCATGAATATGATCTCTGCTGTATTCTCCACGGCTGTAGAGGTGAAGACAACAACTCCCATGATCCCGCCAAATCAAGGCATCATCAAGCTACACCTTTGATTTGAATAAGCGACCTCTAGTGGCGAAAACTTACATATTGTGCCTTTAACTTAGGCTGCGTTTACACTTGGCATTAACATGCGACCTGTATCCGGAATTCCGGATGTTGTCCACATACACATTGAAAAGACAAGTGTAAACGCACATCTGATGGGAATGTTATCCGATCAGCGTGTCCCGGTTCGGAGTAGGGTTGCCAACCGTTCCGTATAATACGGAATCGTTCCGTATTTGACACATAAAAGGCTTGTTCCGTATTGAACTGATACGGAACGCACTTTGTTCCGTATTTTTGAGAATCAATTCAGTGCAAATCCATGACAGACGCATAGCTTCTAATATATATGTCAGACAGACTATGATGAATGAACGAAGACCCGCTGCATGCAAATTCGGGGACTTGGCGCCACCTTGACGGGCTCTGACGTGTAATGACGTAGAGTTGTCTCATTGGTCGCACGTCAGAGGCGCCCACGCCATTGGATGTGCAGTTGCCGCAGCGCAGCCTGAGCGAGCCAGACGCTCAATGTGCAAGCTGTGCAGCTGCAAATGCATTTTACAGGCTTCAGTAAATCAAGTAAAATGTGTTTCCGAAGACATTTGTAGGCTATGATAAGAAAAACTTCCCAAAAAAATGTTTAAAAATTTTTTGCACCGAAAAGCACATTCTAGAAGTCTAATTCTATTGAATAAGTTCGCACAAGGATACAGAAAACTGTTGTGTTTATTTTTCTTCAAATGCAGTCTAAGCCGATGAGTTTCGAATGTTATATGTTGTATTTGTTTAAGTTAAAAATAAAACGTATTATAATCTAAACAAATACATGGTTCATTTGTGGCAAAATGATCATGATAGCCTTTATATATGTGGTTAAGTCCTGTATATTGATTAAGCCTACTTTGCTATTCTATAAATATATAAACCCCCCCCCCCTTCCTTATTTCCATTTCAGAAAGTTGGCAACCCTAGTTCGGAGGTAGTCGAGGACGCATTGTGATCGGATCTCAGTGTAATGTAAACGCAATCCAGACATCGTGTCTGCATTCACAGGTGAACGTAATTTAAATCCCCGCCCAGTCTCCCCGCGTGACTGTCAGAAAGTAATGGCCAGACGCAGTTTAGACACGAAATTAAACTTATTTGAACAATAAACGTCAATCTTTAAAACAGTTTATTTATGTGTGTCATTTTCATTTTAATTGTGCAACATTATCTGAACGAGGCGATCGCCTGTACACTCACAGTTAGTCATGAGATCTTAATGAAGAGCTGCACTTGCCAGAGGAATAATCTGAATCGGAATTTTTAAATGTTTTAAATGTTGAATGTTTTTATTGTTTCAGCATGTTTATCAATCTCCCATTTCTGTCAATATAGTCATTGCACGCAACCTTAAACCCAGATGATCGATGATGTGACTTGTTTAACATGATCAACCCAGTTATTTTTGTAAGATCAACTCTGGAAGTATTCCTTCTTTTAAAAAATATAATTTGATCTAATTAATGGAGATTGCATATGAAAGTAAAGTGACTGAGTGAAAGCAATTGGGATGTTGTTTAATTTGTATCATCTTTACTATTAATCTGGTGTCGTGCCACGTACAGACCTGATTTAAATATTATGCGGGAAACAGAAATCCGATCGGTTATCCAGATACAGAGGCTGCTTAATGTGAACAAATATAAACGCACCATGTCCTGATTGGCTAAGATCGAGCAGATCGGATCACGGTGATCGCATGTGAATGCCAAGTGTAAACGCAGCCTGAGTGATTGCTATCAGGATGTGAAGAGACTTGCAACCAACATAACAAAAAAATTTCTGGAACAAATCACCCTGCCTCTAACTATAGCCTAATCGTTTTAAACAAAACTTTCAGAAAAATGTGACAGATTTGTCATGTGACGCACAACTGCTGTTGGACATTCTTAGTTTGCTATTATTATTGGTTGCAAATCACATGAACTAGTGAAAGTTTTCTTTTTAAAAGTCCCGAGGGCCAAAAGTGCCCATATAGGTGATGAAACAGCCTTACACATAATATACTTTCCACTCAGTCGACAGTTTGATTGAAGTGTCACGTTGTGAGTTGATCTTTTAACAAGAGTAATTTTGTCAGGTGATCATTTCAAACCTTTAAACACCCCATGCATCAGTGCAGTGCTGTCAGATCATTCACACACAGGCCAAATCGGTCATCCATTTGTTTAACCCAAGCAACATTTCAACTTTAGTTTAGTTTAAAGTTGTATAATTATAAACTCTTAAATGGTTTAGAGTGCGGTTTAAAAGGTTGAAGATTAATTTCACCGTTTAAAGGCTCAGCTGACATTAAAAGGCTGAGGCCGAACAGCAGGTGGCGCTATCAGGCAGACAGATGGACATGTAGGTCACGAGAGTTTGTAGGTGTGTTCAAATCATGTGCTTTTGTTGCGTTCTTTGATTGTACGTGACTGCGTGTCCGCCCAGAGAAAGTATGCAGGTGCAACAATCTGTCCATCAAGATGTTTCTCAGAGCCTACAATATTTTGGTTCCTGCAACATTCCTCAAGGGGAACGCTCAGGGATCAGTTGTTACAAAAGGCGATGATTAACCCTATTGGGTTTTTTATATATAAAAAAACAAATTGATAACACTTTAACATAAGTAGGCTATTCTAAACATTTATTTGAAATGTATCTTAAATAAATATTTAGAATAGCCTACTTGTTAAAGTTTTTTTTTAAAAGATAGAGAAGTCTATAGAGAACTCTATAGAGTTATAGCTAAAATAAAGGTTCCGCTAGTTCACATTCAGAAGGTTTACAGCAGATGAAAGAGAAAAGGGGGCGTAGACAGCAGCAGCTCAGCAAGCGCTTCCTATTGGTCAGCGTGAGTGTGGGCGGGGCCAGCGAATGACTGGGGCTTTCCGTGAATTTTCATAACTCCTCAGTCAGACAGCAGCATTTCCTTCACAAGTGCATCGACAATCGCACGTATTTATTTTCAAGCCATATTTTATTTCGCTGTGAAGGATTACAAACAAATAAATCACTTCAGGAGTTACGGCGGATGAGGAGAGTTCCTCTCAGACATGATGGAGATTGAATTGCCTAAAATGCACCAAAGCCAACAGGTAAATAATATTTAACTACAATAACGAATAGCGTTAGGCTACTAATGTTACAACAAGGTAGTAGTCTGTTTTAATAGTATTAAAATAATACTAAAATTATTAATTGTAATCTCACTATGATGTTACATCATTCTGCCCTTTGAACCTCTTATGTGATGTATTTATTGCTCTTGTCATATTTGTGTTACCAGCGCGTTACAATCACTTCCATGTGACTTTATAACAGCCTTGCGTGTTTTAAAGTTTCAATATGAGAATAATCGAGGCTATTTTGTTTATTTCTATAACTCATTACATGGTGGAATAGTTGAAACGTCATTTTTATATATATAGTCCGTGTTAGAGAAGGCGTTTCCTACATCCCGTTTCTAATCTTTTCACCCAGAATTCTGCATAGTCATTGAACTCGAACGAAAGGAAGGAATATTTATTAAAAATGTATGTGAAAACATTTCACTGAGCTGAATGTCTATTGATGTGAGGCGAATCTGGCACTCGATTAAACTTCTGTCATGAGATGTGCGTCGTCGCGCTGTGATGTTTGTGCGTGTGATCCAGACGCGTCTGCGCTCGCGCGTTCTGCGCATGCGCGCTCACCGGCGCCTTGCACAATAGCAGGCGGACCCAATCTGGAATGTGTGTGTTTATTTTATCCCTGTGTCCTGACGTAAAAGAAGTTATCCTCAGCTTTAAGACATTAATCTCTCTCACAGCTACTGTCATTCTTTATACCTAACTGAAAAAGTTTTGATAGCACTTTATATAACGAACTGTCTTTGACAAACATTACATAATGCTGAAAAGACCAGTAGTGTTTTTAGTGAATGCATGAAAATATATGAATCAAGGTTTCATGAGATCTTTTTATACTGACATTCACCTTAACAACACAGATGAAGAAGAGAAAGTCAAATAGGGAAATACTGATATATATACAAGCAAAACACCATCATTATAACACACACGACACTAAAATAAAGCAATAAACATTCATTTAACATAAGATGGAACATGAACCCTAATGTACATTACTGATAGCAAAACAATTAAAGAGAAATATAAGTTTTAAAACAAAAACAAAAACATGCTTTTACTGTGAATTATTTGTTATTTTTTTACTTTAGGTGTTTACTGTAGCATTTTACAGGTCAAAGTACAGTATTTTTTGCAGTGTACAAAACAGGGCCTAACATTCTCACAAATTGTTTTTCATAAACAAACACTTGACCTTCAGAAAATTGATTTCTAATCACAGAAGGTCAATCTTTATTTGAGCCATTTTATTTTCTTGCTTTCTTTTCTTCTCTTGCAGTTATTTGCAAACCGGTAAATATGAACAAACACTGAATAAAACATTCAGATTACACAGAAAACGTTTATGAAACAAACACACACACACATGCATATTTTTGGGCGAACTATCCTTTTAAGTTGTCATTCAGTAGGAGCTTGTTGTTTATAAGCTTATATCCTATGTAAATATACAGAACATTTGTATTTATTCATGGTGCTGTATTCAGTTGATCATGTTAAAATGATGACACGGTCAAGACACTGAGCTGGAAAAGGCCTAAATCCCTGTTTTAATACAGATATCTGACGCATTTAAAACTCACAGCCTTTCATGCCAAGATATTTTTATGTTAGATGAGATTTTATCAAACATATAAAACGGTCAATGCTTTAAAGTCACGTGACACCATATTAATTAATGTGCCGTGTGTTTATAGGCTACCTAATGGCAGTATGTGATAAAGTTTTATTAATAAAATGATTAACTGTGTGCTGATGCCCAAATTAATCATTGAAATATTTTGATGGGGATTATATTTAAGTAATTTTTATGAGATACAGTCAGATGCCTGTAAAATATTTTATTTATCGCCCGCCCTCGATCGCCACTTTAAGATAAAGTCGTGTCGTCCAACTAAAGGACTGAGTGGTTGTGCCTTTAGTGAGAGTTTTGAGTCCTGTGTTGAATCGCTGGTAAACCGGTTTGGCACTGAATCGTGCATGAAGAAAGAAACCGAGAACAAGGTGCTGTTGTTCCCGCAGTGGTTTATTCCACATTCCCGCCGTCTGGAGAGGAACAGGAAGTGAAACGGGCCTGAAAAATTATCTCTTCTTCATCCGGAAACTTTGCAGTTTTAATAACAGCTCTGGTTTCCCGTTTCCATTAACCTGGATAATGATTACTCGAACACTTTTACACATTAATTATGTAGTGAAGAAGGTGTGTCTTGGATATTATTTTCACTCCTAAATACAATCCCATCCGTGACATTAACGCGACTGCGATACTCACACACGCGTAAACATACACACGCAATACTCGACTGATGTTTAATATAAAACATAATTAGTGATGTGGTCAAGCTTCATCATGTACAAGCTTCATCACACATCAGGTCAAAAACACTCACTGCGACCAGTAAACACATCATATTTACTAAACACTGTTTCCAGGAAAAAGCCGAGAGCCTTTTGCATTTTAAAGGAGCAGTTCATCGACAAATGTCTTTATTTGTCCCTTCATGTCATCCAGACCTAATATTATTCATGTTTTTCACTAAATCTTGGGCTCCGTGTTAGTAGCTATCATTGATATACGATACATTTTTTGTAAATTTTTTAATGAATGTTTATTTTCATATTTTTTTTTCATGTTTTCTTTTTTAATTCTAGTTAGTATTAGTAATTTTTGTAATTATTTTTTATTATTATATATTATATAGGCTATATATAGTTTTAGTTAACAAGATTAACCCGAATGTCAGCTTTATTTTTGCGGTTTGTCATGAAAAGGAATTAAGGGACTTTAAATATAGTGTACAAGTGGTATGGACTGCTTTTATGAGATATTTATTGTCATGTTTGCAGAAAAAAAAAATCACCATCCACATTTTGAATGGACAACAAAAGTGCTTGTTTAATGTTTCACAGGAGAAAGAATGATAAAGAAGAGAAAATAATAATTTATTATAACAATAATAATGATGATGATGATGATTATGGTAATAACACTAATAGCCTGCCCCAATATTTTCACTTCTGGATAAACGGTTCCTGTTTTGTTCTTAGCCATCATCAGATTGATAACATATGCTCTTGTAGGCCTAATGCGCATATGGATATGGTCAGAAAGTAAAAGGCTCTTTAGAGATCCAAACATCCAAACTAAACAGTCGGAAACACATTCTTCATGGAGGAGGAAGAGAGAGAGAGAGTGTGTGTGTTTGAGTGTGTGTGTTGTGTCCAGTCTTCTCGTGAGAGCGGCCCGTTTATTATTAGTGGTTGGGATGTTTCATCATCTCTGTGTCTCCACCCCGTCTGTTATCAGGAGTCATCCAGAGAGGGAGCGTGTGTGTGTGTGTGTGTGTGTGTGTGTGTGTGTGTGTGTGTGTGTGTGTGCGAGACGGGCATGTCGCTGCATGCCTCTGTCTGACGCCACTGTCTGATCCACTTAATTATTATTGAATTATTCGCATGATTTTATATCATTTTAAACTAGATCAGGAATTAATTTGTACACTTTAAAAAATGCTGCGTTGTTTCAACCCAACTTTGGGTCAAATATGGACAAACCCAAACCAAACGTTGGGTTAAAAATGCAATTTAAAAATAGGCTGGGCTTGTCCATATTTGACCCAAAGTTGGGTTGAATCAACCCAGCAATTTTCCGAGTGTGTGCTGGATAAAGACTTAAAATGATTCGATGTGTTGCTGTGTTTAGTTGTAACATCGTATGATGTCGATGCTGATGTCCGATTCAGAATTGCAAAAGAGAAGTGGTTCCTCAAAAGTGCTCAGTTCCTCTGCTGTCAGTGCACACTTCTCCTCTGCTCAGTCCCCGGGGCCTTGTGATCGGAGGCTGATTTTCTCCAGGTCTCTCTCGAGTCACATGCTCGAGCTCACGAGCGGACACACACATGCAGAACTGCAGGCGTTTATGCAAAGCTTCGCCGCTGTAAATAAACGCAGGAGGAGGTTAAAGAGTTACTCGTATCTCAGACACTGCGATGTATAATAAAGATTTGAGTTCCTGCAACTATCAATCAAGAAAGTCTGAGGCCAAGGTTTCATAAATATTTTTGCCACTCAGCCTGGGAAGCATTTTAATGACCAGCATTTAGAAATGTCTCATATGATGATGTATAATATTTGAGCAGGATCGTAATGTACCGCTGTCGACGAGCTCGAGTGCGGAGAGGCTGCAGACCATTTAAAGGGACAGTTCACCCAAAAATTAAAACTCATACACATCACATCACATCGTTCTGAACTAAAAGACTTCCGTTCATCTTCGAAAAACACAAATTAAGATATTTAAAATGAAACCTGGGATATTTCTGTGGCTCCATTCCACCAAAACTTGAATGCTTCATAAAGAGATTGTCAAATAAATCCATATGAATCGAGTGGTTTAATCCAAATATGGTAAAACGAAGCTCAAACATGCGCGAGAACCAATGAGTTTTGTTGTTATGTGTCACACGCGCAGTTTTAGCTTCCGTTTACCATATTTGATGTGCGCATGTGCGCTCATCAATATGTATATGCAAATTAAAGCCTAAATCAAACCGTTCATACCATATTAGTGACCGTGTCTCTCCAGAAGACATAAACAGCTTCATATTACTTCTACTCGAAAGTTTTAGTTCAGTGGAATTTCAATGGATGGAAAAAGAGGATGAGAGAATAATGCAAAATATTCCTATTTGTTTCGATTATGAAAAGTCTTGCAGGTTCGAATTATGACAGAATTGTCCCTTTTGGATGAACTAACACTTTAATGAATTTATTGGCCAATGAGACAAAAGCAAAATTGCTGCAATTAAACAAACGTACAATATTTATCCAAAATGTATTTTACTCTTAACTTGAAAACAGGAAATGTGCATTATATTTTGGCAAGCCTGTCAGAAGGTTTTGGAACGGTTACAGATGAATCTCCAAATGGCCCTATATTGCAAAATTAATTTGTCAATAAATCGATTTATCACCAGTGATGATGGTTGTGTGACGTCTAATGTCTGATTCTGAACCCGGGTTTAAAAACGTGCTAATTGAGTTGTTTTTTAGGTGTTTACAGTAATTAAGGTTTGTCTATCTATTAATAAACACATATATTGCATCAGAGATGGTGGACTCCTCGCTGGACTAGTTCAACACTATTAGTCAGTCATATTAACAATGCTACCTTTAAACAAGCTAAACGCTAAACTGATGACTCGTCACACATCATCAGTGCTGGACCATGTAGTTAAATCAAGAGCTTGTGTTAAAGTGCTTGATTTTTTTTAAATGTACTTAATTATTAAATATAAAAAGTATTAATCGATGAACCATGTTTATTACCCAGCACTAGTCAGGAGGGAAGGTTAGTGGATGAACACATTTAATATTTTTTGTTTATATAAACTTCAATTTACTAAAATGTCGATTTAAGTTTCTCCAGTTAGAAGAAACAGGGAATCATATATTTTGACATGTAGTGGCGTAAAAAGAGTGATATTATGCTTTGGCTTTTTCAATTATGCTTTGGAAGTTTTCCAAACTAAAAAACTTAAGCAATAGTGTCTTGTGATACTATTATAGTTTTTATTAATATTTAGAATTTATTTTTTATATATTTCCTGTTATTTTACTTTTAGTCAAAGTTTTAGTTATTTTGTTGTGTTTTTGTCATTTTCATCAGTTTTTAAATATAGTTTATATCTAATTTCTATTCATTTTTGTTCCAGTTTTTTAGTACATAAAGTTAAGCTAAATAAAAATGAGAAATGTTACCTTGTAAGGGTTTAGTTTCAGTTAAAGTTTATTTTATTTCAAGTAATGAATGTTTTTGTTATGGTGATAGTTCTAGTTAACTATAATAACCCGGGTCCACATCTGCACATAATAGAAACATTAAAAGAAAGAAGAAAGCAGGCCTAATACATCTTATTCAATGTACACACATCTATCTTATTATTCTGTTGGTCTTCCAATGTCACGTCAACACGCCAGCGGCAAGGACGCGTACGATATTTTCTCTTCTCTGTCCTTGTATGTGACAAACACCCTGATCTCTGTAGTTAAAACAACATGGCGGGTGGCGTTTCATTCTCGCTGCTGATTGGTCGAAGCCGCTGGTCACTCCTCCAGAGCTTAGTAATGCACTTCTCTAGAAAGAGTTTTACCACAAAATATAAAATTACACTTTGTGGTGTGCAGTTAAAAAGAAGTGTGGTAACCAGAAGAGCTACATAAATAGTTGAATATAATGTAAATGGTGTTTGATGTACTGTAAAACATGACCACAAATGTCTGAGAAAAACAGTAGCTATATTTGACATGCTCTGACTGCTCACCATTTTTGTTCCTTTTTAAACACATTTTGCATTCACTAGTGATTTCAAACACTCTTGCAGTGTGACAAATTCATTTTTCAAAGAATAAATATCCCATGTAGTCTGTCAAATAATCTGAGCATGCATAATAATTAGAAAAAAAACTATTTTTAGATATATATCACGTCACACAGGACATGTCAACTTCCCACATACAGACCACATGTTTTTTTTTTTTTTTAGCTGTTTTTAGTTGAAGGTCAGAAATATGAATGTTTTTTTCCAGTGGCCTTGCTTTTTGATTTTTCATCTGACCTTTAAATCTGCCACTAACATTAATAGTCACACTAACTGAGTGTGTGTGTGTGTGTGTGTGTGTGTGTGATTTGGTATTTCCCAGAGATGGGATGAAAAAGGAGAAGCAGCATGTATTATTCATCCTGTCTTGTCGTTGCATTGACGATGGCATTGTGTGTGTGTGTGTATCTGAGGAGGGCCGGGCTCGGCAGGCAGGGTGTGGTCAGGAGTGTGTGTGTGTGTGTGTGTGTGCTGCATCTCATCCCGTCTCTCTTCTTCTCTGTAGGACATGGATCTGATAGATATCCTGTGGAGGCAGGACGTGGACCTGGGAGCGGGCAGGGAAGTGTTCGACTTCAGCTTCAGACAGAAGGAGGTGGAGCTGCGCCGGCAGCGTGAGCAGGAGGAGGAGAAGCAACAGCAGCGTTTGCAGGATCAGGAGAAAGCTTTACTCGCACAACTCCAGCTGGACGAGGAGACCGGAGAGTTCGTGCCTCGAAGCCTTTCGGCGCAGACCAACACGACTCATGGAGAAATCACACAGGTACGCACATGCATGCACAAATCCATCCCATGAGACCTTTGATAGAAACACACACGCACATAGGTGCTCCACAGGCCTTGCTCACACACACACACACATATGTGCTTGCTCATGTTACTGGGTGCAGCTGCCTGGTTGCTTGGTAACTGCCACAATGGCATAATTACAGGAACTCGGGAGGTACACGCAATTCTACGAAATGGAAACACAAACAATCCCAACACAACATGGATGGGACACTAAACACCTACTTTTCCCCGAGGAGGTCGGGCACATTTGTGTTTCGCAGATGCACTACGTGATTTAAATCTTGTACGGAGTGAGTTTTCCTTGCATAACCGTGGCATGAAATTATAGAGCAAACTGCCTACTATTTTTCGGCTAAAGGTTCATTCACACCAATGACGATAGCTATAAGATTTGAATACACGAGAATAGTGAAGAATAACGATAACGGCACGTTGGAATCACTTTTAGATGTTTTTTCCAGCTGATGAACAATAAAAACATTGACAGCCAATCAGAATCCATTAAGACATTAAAGAACTCAAGCACTTAAAGTGGCAGACGACAGTTATAATAATAAACAATGTTATCGTTCTGTGGCGTGGCCGTTATTTTTCTTGGTGAGAACAGGCCTTAACCGTACCTATTGAGATTAATATAGACAAATATGAGACAATGGTTGACAAACAGTAAGAGTTTACGCATATAAAATGATTGTAATGCAGTAGCTCAGATCATTTGATGAGAAATGTTTGATATCACATTGAATTCTAGGGTTTTGATAGCAGCCCAGATAGCAAGGTGACATTGATACAATGTTGAGTTTTGATCCAAAGCATCCTTTTGGTTGAGATTGACATTTCAATGTTTAAAGTATGTTGGATCAGCACACATTGGAGGTGACAGTGAAATTGAACTAACACTAGGTGTTCGTTCAATATCGGTTAGCTCAGTTAGTTCAAGAGCAGATGGCTCTGTATGCTTCTGAATCGCTCTCGCTGTACTTTATTGTCATACAGCGATCGGTCTGAGCAGCGCCACTTCGAGTCAAACACACCTATTGATTTGTTGTGCTTGAGCACAAAATCATGAAAGTGTATCTCTGTGGAAAGCTAGTGCTGTTCCTCAATCAGCGGGGCGTTTTCATTTTCAACGCTGTACCCGATTTGTTGTAATCCACTGGGGGTTTGGTTTAGGGGTTCCCTTCCAGTAAAGCGGATGAAGAACAGCAATTGTAGTTTGGAAATGCTCACTGATTTAGGGCACGTTTACATGACAACGATGTACTAAAAACTGAAAAGTTTTGCCTTTTCGCGAAGAGACGACAACGTTGTCAAAATGATCCCCGTTCACACGGATCCGCGAAAACTATTAAAAATGCTTTATTATCCATGCCAGGCCAGTAGTTGGCGAGGTCACTTTTTAAAGATACCCATGTTTTCCCAAATTCGCGTTTTTGTAGTTTACATGGAAACAATAACTGTATCATATTCAAAAATGTGTACTTTGAAGCCCGTTTTCATAAGCTAGCATTTTCAGGCCCCCAAAATGCCATTGTGAACGGCCAAAACGCACAAGTTTTCTGTTTTATTTTGAAAACAGTGTAAACGGCCGCTATGAAACACCCATTTTTGGTTCTGCACGTGCCGTTCTTAGTAGTCTAATTGATTCTTCCTTATTAGAGAGAAAACACAGGTGCGTACTGAAGTATTGTTTGCTGAACCACCTGAAATATTCACACGACTTCTCTCTGGCACAATTTCAAACATTTACTTTATTATTTCTCTATTCCTTTGTTTTGCATGCTTGGTTTTTGTGTTTGATTTCTATTGTTACTGGCTTTAGTAATGTTTATTAGGAAATTTCTGATTAGAGTTCCCGTTTAGACCAGAAAACAGTGTGTCAACAGTCCCCCCAAACAGAGCTCGTGAAGCTGGTTCACCATTATTAATCAATGTCATCTGAAGTTTTGAAGATCAGAGTAAACATTCAAACTGGTGAAACATTTCAAAGGATCAAAGGATTTGTCTACTGTTTAAAAGGATTTTGTACACAAATCAGTAAAAAAAAGAAGCTTGTGTACATTACAAAACAAAAAACATTTAGAGATATGAAAACAAAGAAAAATGCCAAATAACAGCATAATCATAAGCAGTTTGTTCAATGACAGGGGTTATGAGAGGAGCTCTTTCAATGGGACATTGACTTGTGTCAAAATCCAGCTGTCAGTCTGTAAAAAAAAAGCTGTAGCATGAAATATTGTAGACAATAGTGATAGCATGGACTTTCATCAATTGTTGAAAGAAAATTAAAGGCCAACTAAAGGGAACACTGATCACCACAATGGTGACTTCAAACAGACTTCAACGACCTTTATACATATACCATATGAAAGAAATAAAGCCAAACAGGTTTATAATAATAGAACATGCTGATGATGTTTTTGGAGTTGTTTAAGCATCCTCTGGTGAGATTTGATTTTATTTGCAGTTTATTTAATCTAAGGCTGTAGGTTGAAGTTGATGTGTTTTTGCTTGCCTCTTCTCTTTGTTCTGTTCTTGTTGTTCCTCTTATCTTCAGTGATTCTGCTTGTTAACCGCAGGTGTCTAATACTCAATCATCACTTGTAGAGTGAATCTGGTTTATTTCAATAACTGCAACATTGCTTCAGTGTTACTTTTACTATAGATTAGGACCATATGAAAACTTAGTAAAATCCTCAGTGTTAAATGATCAATGCTGTGTACCAATAAACAACCTGCAACATGTTTTTTTCTTTATTAAATTATTTCAATTAATAGGATAATTGTTTTGGTCTTTTCTTTAATTATGAACACACACAAAAAACGTGATGTGTAACACATACATTAGTTTTGTTGTGGTCTTGCTGGGATCATACCAGCACCCAGAAGATAACATATGCTGGTCCACCAGCACACGCGCTTCCCAAGCTGGTCCCAGCGTGCAAAACCAAAACCATCAACCCCATTCCATGCTGGGAACCAGCAAACCAGCATCTCATGTTGAGGTCCAGAAAACCAGCAACCAGAATCTCATGTTGAAGACCAGCAACTAGTATCCCATTTTGAGGTCCAGAAAATCAGCAACCAGCATCTCATGTTGAAGACCAGCAACCAGTATCCCATGTTGAGGACTAGACAACCATCAACCAGCATCCCACGTTGAGGACCAGCAAACCAGCAACCAGCATCCCATGTTGAGGACCAGCAAACCAGCAACCAGCATCCCATGTTGAGGACCAGCAAACCAGCATCCAGCATCCCATGTTGAGGACCAGCAAACCAGCATCCAGCATCCCATGTTGAGGACCAGCAAACCAGCAACCAGCATCCCATGTTGGGAACTAGCAAACCAGCATCCCATGTTGGGGACCAGCAAACCATCATCCAGCATCTCATGCTCATCCCAGTATGCAAAACATACCTTATGGTGGTGACCAGCAATGCTGGGTTTTTCAGCAGGGAGAGTAGTATGTCTGAATGCATGGTATTTGAAAAAACAGTAGGCGAAAAGTCCCCGGATGACCTACTACTTCCAGTGAGATTCTGAAGTGCGCATTCGATGGACACTATACTATCCCATGAGGCCATTGGAGAGGATTTATGAATGACAGTGAAGGTCACATGACAGTAACAAAATGGCGGATGGAGTACGTCCGAAATTCATTCATAACCCACACACATTCATACTAGATGAAAAACGACCTTTTTGAACGGTCGAATGTAGTACCCACCGCTTTCAGACGCAGCGCATGTCTTGCATCATTACTCTGCTTGCACAGCACCTTGCCTTCTTGCCTTTAGGAGTGAGTGAGGCAGATGAGGATGGAGAAGCAGCGTCCTGATAATGCTGACATCGACAGCATAATCACCTGACCTCTGGCCCTCTCCTGCTCCCTGAACACTGCTTTATCAGGTAATCCCTCACATTTAATACAGATTCAGGAATATGAATGATGTAACCAATCTCCATTTAGTTTTTAGCCTTTTCCCACTGAAATGCAATCACAAAAATATATTGTGAGAAAATTGACTGACATGGCTGTGATATTAAAAGAGTTTAAGGTCTACATAAGCAGCTTTAAAGAAATGGTCATTGGAAAAACCTAAGCTCTTTTGTTCTACAAGATAAGCTTGGGATACTTGAATTCTAAGCAGTTTCATGGAACATGAGCTGAGACATACAGTAGTTGAATAATCTTCACGTCCCTTCCTTAAGATCAGGCCTGGACGTTATCAGTGATCTAATGACCTTGTGTGTGGCTGCTCCAGGTGTGTTTAATAGGGCTCGAGATAAACTCAACTGGAAAGATTGGACAGCCCTGCCATAGCACTTCCATTTGTAGAAACCGCACTATTGAAGCATTAACAGATTTACAATAGATTAAATAAACAGAATTAACATTTCTGAATGTGACTTTGTATGACAATTTGTATGTTTTTTTTTCAGATTTCAGAGAACCCAGAGGAAAAGAGGCAGTCGTCTGATGTAAGACAGATTTTTAAAACCTGAACCATTGGATCACTTGTAGTTATAATTACATCATTTTTCTGAAACTAATTATATTTTTAAAGGTTGTAATGCTTGTCTATTTTTGTCCCACTTTTACTTTTTTAAGAATGCTCTTTTGTATCTTTTTGTCATTGATTGTGTTAAACTATTAAATAAAAGAAATGTGACTCAACTGCTGGACAGGTGTTATTTTTATTCAAGTTTATTATTATGTATTCATGTTTAAGTACCACTGAAGTGCTGTTGAAATTTTGTTTCAGCATTAACTCTGGGTACATTGTTTTATGTTAACATTACATTGCAATGTTTCAACAAAAGTGATTCCGAATCCAACAACATTACCAATGGTACAGCAAGATAAACAGGAAAATAACATGTTGCAGGCATCCCATTCAATTAAAAAGAAAATTAGAATTAAGGCAAAAACATTAATAAAACCTTTCATTAATGCATCCAGAGCACACATAATTAAATTTACCGAAAAAAAATCCAGAGCACACCCACATCTACACAATCCACTTTACCAGTAACCAGAGATAATAGATGTTTTGTTAATAATTGTTTGTTTAAAAAATGCATTTGTTTGCTTGTTTGTGTCCTGCTGTGTGTGTAAATGCAATGCTTTTATTTGACTGTGTACCTGCAGAATGGGGCTTTCGCAGGACACGAAGGTGATGCCCTGTCATTCGATGAGTGCATGCAGCTTCTGGCTGAGACTTTTCCGCTAGATGAGCCAGCTCAGGTAATTACGGGATATATATATCGCCCATATAACACCTCACACCTCTTGGCAACACAACACCTATACATGTCACTGCACTTGAGTCTAATTGTGTCTCTCTCTCTCTCTCTCCTCTTTTGTCTTTGCAGCCAGCTCCACCTTGCCTGGATGCCTCCGTTCCACCATCCACAGATCTCATGATGCCCACAAACATCCCAGTCTTTACCCAGAATCCTTTGCTTCCAGGCTCTCTGGATCAAGCCTGGATGGAGTTGCTCTCACTCCCAGAGTTGCAGGTATGAACCCTAAACCAGACCTCACTAACACCCTGGAGTCTGTCCAGGGAATAAAATGAAAATTGTTTGTACATTGCAGTTTAAAGCATTATGTTCCAGTTTCAAATAAAGATACTGGCCAAAATGCGAGGTATATTAAAGGAGAACTCCGGCGCAAAATGAACCTTTGGTCTAATAAAACATTGGTACCAACCGTTCTCTGAGATTTGTTTTCATGATAATCGAATGTAAAGAGTTTTCTCTCTAAAAACTGTTTAGCGTATAACGCTAGTAATGGGGGCATATAATGAGTAAAAAGAAATCGCTAGTTAATACCACTAACAAGGCTCAAAATAGCCCCACACGAACACAGTAAAATAATGAGGGTCCCTACATGCAAAATGAAGCATTGAGAACTTTGTACGTGTACAGACCGTTTAATAAGAAGATAAAGAGAAAGACAGTCCACTTCGTGTATACAGACAGGAGCCATCTTTGGAAAACAGTCTCAACTAGTCAAACCACGAACGCCATTCATAGCACGTCGTTCGTGGTTTGATTAGTCGAGACTCGAGACTGTTTTCCAAAGATCTGTTTTCCCTCCATTCCAAAAGTCCATTTGACACTTCAAAAAGTTCACAAAGACATTGCAAAAGTAATTAATGATGAACAGATTTAATGTAGGCTTTTATTCACGTATAAACCTTGATCAATGCAAATACACAGAGCACATCAAATATGCTCAACATAATTTCAACCGTGCTCACACTTTTACAATGTCTTTATGGACTTTTCGAAGTCCATTTTGGAGGGACAAAAATCCCAGGTTTCATTAAAAATATCTTTGTTTGGTTTTCGGAGATGAATGAAAGTCTTTATAGGAACGAAATGAGGGCGAGTGAAGGATGACAGATTTTTCATGTCTGGGTGAACTATCCCTTCAACATAATTTTCAGAGAGAGAGGCTGTGAGGTACTTCTTTGTGTAATCTGGTTTATACCACCTGTGGTTTAGAAAGGCAATTAAACTCTGTCGCTGAGCAACAACCAATTAACCCTCTCTGAGCTCATGCTGTGGTGTGACAGATACTTCATAAAGGTTTAAAGTAGGGCTGCCATGGACTAAAGATGTTTCTAGTCGACTAGTAGTCGATCATTTAAGACATTAGTCGACTAATCAGGCGTTAATATTAATAAGCCATAAATCATTATAAAATAGATAGCCTAATCAGCACTCAAATGCACACAAAGCTTGCCACAGCGCACAGGCAAACATAATGATTATGAATGTGTCGTGAAAAAAACAGGAGACTGTCTAAACATTTGAATAATTTATTGGTAATGTTTTTTGTGTCAAGTGTCGTTTGCAGAGATCAAGTCAACAATGCTGACTGGTCATCTCTGCAGTAGTGGACGCGCATATATGCACATTTCATACGGATAACATAATACGCTCATTTAAAAGTAGACATTTCAAGCTTTCTATAGATATATTTCTCATGTCTGTGAGGCAAGCATACGCTGAGTTTCGGTTCATTTATGTGATGCGCTCAAGTTCACTGAATGACATAATCGACAGAAAGCACCATTATTTTACAAAAGCACAACGTTGTGAGTTTAAAAAAATAAGAGTAGACCCTTTACTGTTTGCATTACTCTTATCTGTATGACCAAAAATGATGGAGTTCAATGCAAGTGATCGCGCCGGCGCCAGTAAACACCTATGCGCCTAATAATAGCGCACATTTATCTAGGTTAGCATTAGAGCGTGCAGACTTGTAAAGTTGCAACTACTTACATGTTTCAAGTGATAAGCCATATTTGAGGTCGAAGAATGATCGGCGAATGTTTGGATTTCCTGCCGTTAACGATCTGTCCGTTACAGCTTGCGCGTTTTTTTTTTTTTTTTTTTGCGGCTAACCGACTAATAAAACCTTAGTCGACCAAGCCTCTTCTAGTCGACTATTAGGGGGCAACCCTAGTTTAAAGTTAAGGTCCTTTCATATGACTCACGTCAACATTCCCCAATGAGTTCTACGGAGTGAAGCATCAAGCTACAACATTACCTAGCAGATCAAGCGTAGAAACACTCAAGTTTTGCCAGACAATGCGCAAGTGTAACAATCCTTTGTTCCCAACTTCTATTGTGAACCTATTGAGTCTTCACATTGGATTACGGTGTTGATATGCTTCTCTTTTGTATTTTTAGCAGTGTCTCAACATGCAGATGCAGGACACATTACATATGGATGGATTTATAAAACCTCCCGGAGAAGCACAGAACCCAAGCTACAGCCAATATCTGCCCGGGATGGACCATCTCTCGTCCGCCCAGACCGAGGTGTGTCCCCCTGAATACATCAACACCTATGATGGATCCTTCAGCAATATGGTGTCGCCCAACCTCAGCCAGATGAGTCTGAACGTCCCGGATGTGGGAGCCGAGTTCGGGCCTGAAGAGTTTAATGAGCTGTTTTATCCTGAGATGGAGGCCAAAGTGAACACATGCGACGGAGGACATATGGTCCACCAACTGGCCGAGATTTCCAACGATCCTCCTGTGAATCCAATGGATCTGCAAAGCTTTTCACCGGGAAACTTCAGCTCAGAAAAACCAGAGCCAATGGTGGAATTCGCAGATTCTGATTCTGGCTTGTCGCTGGACTCCAGTCCTCACATGAGCTCCCCGGGGAAGTCCTTAAACGGAGATGAATCCTTCGGTTTTAGTGATTCCGACTCTGAAGAGATGGACGGTAGTCCGGGAAGCATGGAGTCCGATTATACCGAGATATTCCCGCTGGTTTACCTTACCGACGAAGCTCAGGCTTCTCTCTCAGAGAAATCCCCCACGGAGCAGCAGGAGATGAAAGCAAAGAACCCAAAGACGGAGCCGGTGGAGGCCAGTGGCTTTTCCAAACCTCCCTTCACCAAAGACAAGCAGAAGAAACGCTCCGAGGCCCGGCTCTCCCGTGACGAGCAGAGAGCAAAAGCCTTGCAGATCCCGTTGACCGTGGACATGATCATCAATCTGCCTGTGGATGACTTCAACGAGACCATGTCCAAGCACCAGCTCAACGAGGCCCAACTCGCCCTCATCCGAGACATCCGGCGCCGGGGCAAGAACAAGGTCGCCGCGCAAAACTGCCGTAAGCGGAAGATGGATAACATCGTGGGTCTGGAGTACGAGCTGGACTCGCTGAAGGAGGAGAAGGAGCGATTGAAGAAGGAGAAGAGCGAGCGTAGCTCCAATCTGAGAGAGATGAAACAGCAGTTGAGTACCCTGTACCAAGAGGTCTTCGGTATGCTTCGAGACGAGCAGGGCAAGCCTTTCTCCCCCAACGAATACTCCCTTCAGCACACCGCGGACGGCACCGTTTTCCTCGTCCCTCGCCTTAAAAAGACTCTCGTTAAGAACAACTAGCTCGGTTTTTTTCTTCTCTCTCCTTCCACACTTGCTTCTGTTTTTTGGTACTGCTTTTCTCTTGCTAACACTGTGTCCTGACCAGGCATGACGCAATAAAGCAGAAAAGGCTCTTCCACGTCAGTGTGTTTGTGCTAACCAGCCACAGGACAGTTTGTCAATCAATTGGCTTTAATTCGTGCAGCATTGAGGTGGGTAGCTCCGCCCACAATGGAATCGGATTGGTCCAAAAATTTCACTATGTTCTGATTTTTGGTGCAGTTTAGTCGCATCTAGTGTCGACTCCAGAAACTCACCACACAACTGGTTAGGACACGGTGTACGTTTTACGCAAAGGAAACAACTAAATAGGAGCGTATTTTGCTTATACATCAACTGTTGAAATGGCAGAACTATTATATACGTTTTGCGTATTCTACTTTCCTAATATTCTTAATCTCTGTTGGATTTTATACTTCTTTATATTTTCTCTGAGATTCTTTTACCTATATGGTTTGTAAATACATTTATACTTTATTTGCTATTGAGATAGGAACAAATGTATTGTACATAAATAGATCTTGTTTTAGTATGCTAAAAATGGTTATGATCATTTTGAGTCTGCACTTATGTCAGTTTTTATATCCTAATTTACTATTCTATTGCTATTTTATCTCTTGACTTTATGGCTTTATATTAAATAAATATTTAAACCAGTGAAGTCTAATGTGGTCTTGAATGGAAGTTGGTTTGATGACGGTCAACAAATGGAAGGAAAGAGGAAGTGGATATTAACAATAAGGAATAAGGAAGCAGTCAAAATCGATCAAGTCATCACATATAAAGTATCAAAAGAGGTGACCTATATATTTTAGAGAACAATGGCACAACATGTCGACTACAAAAGTAATACGGTTCAAAATGAAGACAGAAAACTGTTGACACTTTGGATCATGATGATGTAAAGGAGAAGAGTGAAAAATGGCTTATGTTTGCAGATACCACTTGTCTGATATTTTATTAATCCAGTTTAAGTGTAGCTTTTTGATACTTTTTGAGGCCGCTGTATATTATCTGCCATTAAATCACAATCCATCAGAAGGTTTTGTGCTCAAATTGTTAGTTTTCTTGGAAACGCACTTAATTTAGGCTCACCACCAACACTGTAAAACACTACATGCTCACAATATCTACCACGATTCTTGAGATTTAACAAAACCATAAGCCTTTGAGGGAGAAAAGCCCCTTTTTGTCCATTCCCCTCCACCAAACAGCCCCAGTCTCCCAGTGTTATGCAACAGATCTGGACTGTTTGGCAGCGTCCCATGATAGACATGCCTTCATTAAAGCCATGCTGGACGAAGAGCACCAGTAAAGAGCAGTTGTTTGCACTGCTAGGCACTTTCTCACACACACACACACACACCACCTTTGAACACACCAAGCCCTCTCTTTCACACTACAGTGATTCTCCATTTTCAACAAGTCACGCCACACAAACAGGGTCAACCTGTTCAAAGGCCCGTATTTACGTCACAATGTAGGATCTTTTCACAATCTACCGCTTGATGCATGATAATAAAAGGGTGATAAATCATACATTGAATGCTTTTGTTCTTATGACAGCATTAAACTAGCATGCGTTCTCTTATTAACAGACCCATCCTAGAGCCCATGGGTTATATGGTACACTACATGATCCGATTTTTAAAATCTGGTTGCTTATGAAATGTTACAATTCTTCCATCAGTTTAAAGCCATCAGAGTGTGAGCATGTGACTTATCTAGGGCAACTGTATCTTAAACATTTACCCATGGTCATGACCTTAATTCAGGGTCAGGGGAACAAAGTCCCCATGTCAGGTTTTGGAGACAGATAAGCATTGTGTGAGAAGAGAAGGCACTGCGCTCACACACAAACTACACAGAAAATTAAACATTCTCAGGGCTTTTCAAATGGTTTTATTAAACAGTCAACATTTGGCAATGCAATCACATGTATTCATTACGACATTATGAGTGATGTTTTAAGACTATAAAACTTCTTAGGAAAATATTGTGTGAATATATATATATAAATATGGATTTACCCTGAATTACAAAACATCCTCACACACACAAAAATACAGTATACAGTATACCAGTAACTGGCAAAATACTACAAAAATGTTCACAGTTCATGGAAGTTCCTGTCAAGTGAATGAATGTTCAGCAAAATGTCCTCGCTTGCACATCAGTGAATGAATCTCATTAAAACAAGTCGGGTCACATTCCACCTCGAACTCAATATGCTGTAAGCTGCCAGTCAGACATGTCTTAAGATGATTCATTCTTTAAATGATTTTTTAATTAGATTTACAGTACAGCGGTGACATTTACCCTCGTATGGTGAATTTCTGCAGTCATGAATCGCTACACTATTGACATTTGCAGAACTTTTAGTGACATTTTCTGGCCAAAAAGGGTCCAGTGTCTATTATTAATAGTGTATGAACGGGCAGATTTCTCTTGGGCATCACAGTGAATCCACGAGACAAACTTCAAGCCGTTGTGAAATCTGCGTGGGTACATGTTTCTCCATCAAATACTCCCATTGCTGTGGATTCCTACTGACATGACTGGATTTCGCCCATGAAAACTCACTGAACAGTGGTAAATGTGGCCGCACCTCAATATTTAGTACTATTATACAAAAAAAAAATCAGCTTAAGATAATGGCAACACAACAAGAAATGTAAACACATATTTAGCATATTTATAATTTATTTTATTTCACACTACAGTATTCAGAATTTGACTTTTTTTGCCATTATGGTAATGAGAAGCCACATTGCATTGACTTCATTTTCACTTCATAATTTGATATATATATACACGATATCAACAAAAAAAAGGTGAAATAAGACCCCAGGTTTGTGAGATTCATCCACACAGCATGGTCTATACTTGAGCCGAATGTAGTTTCTGAATCTCTCAGTGCGACTACGGGAGGATCTCTTTATTAAATCACCATATATCTCGTGCGTATTAATCTTACCCATCCAGAACCGTCGCTGAAAAGACTTTCAGCCACTTACTGTAGACCGGGCGCTGCTTTTCCCATCTGTAAATTAAGCAGAAGAGTTACTCTTACCTTCCACGTCTTCTGTCTGCCTCAAACCCTCATCCTCACGCTAGCCTTGGCTCTCCGCTAGCCTTGGCTCTCCGCTAGCCTTGGCTCTCCGCTAGCCTTGGCTCTCCGCTAGCCTTGGCTCTCCGCTAGCCTTGGCTCTCCGCTAGCCTTGGCTTTCCGCTAGCCTTGGCTCTCCGCTAGCCTTGGCTCTCCGCTAGCCTTGGCTCTCCGCTAGCATTGGCTCTCCGCTAGCATTGGCTCTCCGCTAGCATTGGCTCTCCGCTAGCCCTCCTCCTGTCCAAAACAGACGCTAGACACACTGGTCCAGTGGCGGCTGTCCTGTTGTCAGTTCGTCTGTCTCGGCCTGAAGGCCTTTCTACTCTCATACACAACAACAACACGCGCTCAGGACAGCCGACTCGCTTTCAGACTCAATGACGCACTAAACTTCATTATTACTAGAGCACAACTTTATTTCAACTGGTTTCTTTTGTCAATTGTCAAAAAAGTGAAACAATCTAGACGTGGATCTTTACAGGTTTGACATGTTACATGCCCTCAGATCTGATAAAGTCTACTCTGTTTTTCATTCAGAGATCAACAACACATGTACTGTATGCTCACAATATATAAAAATTCAAATCAAAAAATTAAAAGCCCTCCAAATAATATCAAGGCCACAACATATTGCATACTCACAACATATCATTTTTGAACTACTCTGGCTACAGTGTTTGATAACATAATATTTTTTTCACTCTCAAAAACGCTAAAAAAAACAACAACACATTCACAAAGGATTGAGGGTGTGAGAAAAGCACAAAGAAAATCCGAGCGGGTGAAATAATGCAGCAGTAAGGAATGTACAGTACATACACTAACTAACACACGCTACTCTCGCGCGGCCAACGTTAAACACACACCGCTGCGGTAAAAGAGCTATAACTGGCAGATCTTGGCCCTCAGTAATCTTTCCTCTCATCTCTCCTCATCACCATCTAACTCTGGATCTGAAGCCTGTTGAACACACACACGGTAAAACATCACAAGTCATCATCCTGTGTTACACTTCTGTGGAGTCTGTGGCTGCGTCCCAACACGCCTACTCTCACACTGTATAGTAGGCCGAACAAGTCTGTAGGGCCCCGTGGATTCAGCCGACGGGATAAAAACACAATTTACCGTATAGAGCGGACGGTCACGGGATTTGTCACATTTTTGAGGAATATAAAATATAAAAAAAGATATTAAAAATAATATTGTGTTGTTGTTTTTATCAATTCAGTTAATTGAATATTAAAATGTAATTAAAGCATTAAAATCCAGAAATCTTAAAACAGAAAACCAGAATTTGGTAAAAAATAAAACAGAATTAAATAATAATAATAAAAAATTTCATAGGTCCGTAACATTGTATTTTTTGTTAAACTTTCTTACATTGTTGTTAAATTGTATAAGTTTCATTAGACATGCCTTTTGATTACAACATTTTTATTTAACCATTAAAATTGAGACCAATCCAGAAAAATATATATTATGTTATTATTATATATATTATATTATGTTGTTGTTTTTATCAATAGGGCTTGGGCGCCGGGTTGCATTCTGGGACGTGGCGGCCATGTTGACAGCTTCGCGAATGTAAACATACAGCAAGTCGAACGAGGAGAAGCAGCAGAGTTGGGAGAAAGAAGAGAAAAAAAGATGTTAAAATCCCTAAAAGGATGTGGAATTTACCGGGATACGTTAAATAGGGAAGCCAGGGACCGGTATGTGGACAAAATCGGCACTTTTAACGGTTTGGATCCATATGAAATTTCCAACAAACAGCGGGAGCACAGTAACTTAATCCGGACAAAGGTAAACTGCGCTCCACCTAGCTGCTAGTTTAGTAACAGTTAGTGCTAACAAACATTCACACATGTAACGTACTTTTAACTATGTTTTTCTAAAGTGTAGTTAGTAGCTGTTTTAAGCTAAACTTAAGTTAGTAAGCAAACCGATGCTTAGGGGAAGGGGGTAGCAACCGTACAGAGACTGACAGGTCCGATGGAAGGGCTAACGTTGATGTTATGAGAGTATTAAAATACGGGATATTTTACAGGAAAATACTAAAACGGGAAGACAGCGGGAAAAGAGCTCAAATACGTGAGAAGCCCGTAAAAACGGGAGGGTTGACGGCTAACGTTACTACAGTTTTGAAACGCATAGTTAAAAGTATATGGTTGTGAATGGTTGTTAGCACTAACGGTTACTAAACTAGCAGCTAGGTGGAGCGCATCTTAAAGTTACCTTTGTCCGGATTACTGTGTTCCCACTGTTTGCCGACTCTTTGTTGGAAATTTCATATGGATCCAAACCGTTAAAAGTGCCGATTTTGTCCACATACCGGTCCCTGGTTTCCCTATTTAACGTATCCTGGTAAATTCCACATCCTTTTAGGGATTTTAGCATCTTTTTTTCTCTATACTTTCTCCCAACTCTGCTGCTTCTCCTCGTTTGACTTGCTGTATGTTTACATTCGCGAAGCTGTCAACATCAACTATTTAGTTAATTAGATATGCTTTTTGATTATTAAAATGTAATTAAAGCATTAAAATCCAGAAATCTTAAAACAGAAAACCAGAATTTGGTAAAAAATAAAACAGAATTAAATATTAATAATAAAAAATTTCATTGTAACCTAACATTTTCTTTTTTTGTTAAACTTTCTTACATTGTAGTTTCATTAGACATGCCTTTTGATTACAACATGTTTATTTAACCATTAAAATGGAGACCAATCCAGAAAAATTCAAACGTAAAAAAAAAAAAAAAACGCAATCCAGAAAAATATCAAATGGAATTTGTGAAAAAATAAAAATGATTTCATAGGATCTTAAGTCTGCCAACAGAGAAGTGTGTTCGAACACTATCTGAAAAGCAGTAGGAGCACCTGAATGATCATATGAACACCTCAGAGCCTCATCGGGACACCGGAGAGGATTTGAGAATGGAGGTCACATGATAATGGCAGATGAAGTACGTCCGAATTTAATCATTCTATACAGAACATACTTTTTTGAAGAGCCGTGAAGCCGAGTTTCAAACCGCACGTAGCACCTACTATACAGTCTGTGGTTTGGGACGCAGCGTGTGTCGGCGCTGAACTTACCACAGATAAGCTGATGTGTTAATATCTCCGGGAGTTATACCCGCCGCCGCCGCCTCCACCAGAGCCATATCCACCTGAACACAACAGAGGCTCAGGCTAAAACACTGGGGATATAGATATACATATATATAACGGATAGATCCGGTCCTTGATTCTGATTGGTTGAGCCGCGTTCAAAGCCGTTGTGAATCACTCCACGAACACATTACATCAGTGTTACTGCGCAACTGCCGTTTGTGATGCTTTGTTGCTGCATGTGTTGCTTGGCAACCTCTTTGGAACTACATTGCTTGGCGGAGGAATAAATGTGTTATAACGTCATATTTTTTGTTGCTGGTGTTTATTTTATGAATAAATAAATATTAAAATGAATATTTTCAAGCAGTAACCGTTTTATAAAAGCAATAAGCCCAGCGAAACCGTGTTTTACAGTGAATTTAGAACAGCTGAGGGGTGTTGCGCCTTTAAATTCACTGTAAATCACGGCTTATTGCTTTAATATATACACTGTTTACCTCCGTAAGGTCCCGAGTTCCTTCCTCCGAAGTTATTTCCCTTCATGGGGCCGTAGTTGGACTGTTGTCCCCCGTAATTCCCGAAATCATTGTAGTTTCCTCCTCCTCCTCCTCCACTACTGCCACCAAAGTTACCTGTGATGAAGGTAATAATGAAGATCATTTCAATGCATATTTATTATTCTACTATGTACATTTTTTATTCTATGAGTGTTTTACTATTTTTGTATTATTCAGAAGCGACAGTAAAGACTTGCATTACATTATAACAAAAAATAGTCTTGCAAAAATGCTGTTGACTTTCTATTCATCAAAAGAAACACGGAAATTTAAAGCAGCACAACTGAGAGTAAAACATTTACTAACATTGATAGTAATATAATAAATGTTTCTTGATCATCAAATCATCATATTAGAGTGATTTCTGAAGGATCATGTGACACTGAAGACTGGAGTAATGATGCTGAACATTCAGCTTTGATCACAGGAATAAACTGTTTTTACGGTATTTTTGATGCAGCCTTTGAGAGCAAACGAGACATCAAAAACATTAAAAATCGTACTGACTCCAAACATTAGAGTATTTTTTTAATCATTTGTTTCAATTAAATGATTCGTCGGTTCATGTCATTACAAAAAAGAAGCTGGTCTTTAGTCAGAATATAACATGTAGCTCCGCCTCCAAAACGACTTCTATTTCAGGATGACATCACTGAGCCCTCTTGTTTAGCCCCTCCCCCTCCAGCCACCTGTCAAGCATTTGTCTTAGCTTTAACGAGAATGTACCTCCAAAATTCCTGCCATCATTGTAGTTGTCATATCCTCCAAATCCTCCTCCGCCTTGGTTACCGTATCCAGGGCCTCCACCGTACCCCCCACGACCCCCTCCTCCGCCAGCGCCTCCTCCATAGTTATTATTACCTGCCGTCGCAAACACAGCAGAAACCTGCACTTCAGTGGTCGTCTTCTCAGGCTCTCGGGGAGTGACACTGATTGGTTGATTGGGATAAGTTAGCACTTCATTTGCATTAAGAGCTTATTGTTGTTGTTTTTGGACGTCTTCCTTTTCAATACTTATTTGAGGTCTTCTAACTTACTGGATAGTTGTCTTTGAACAGGTTGAGGATTTGTTATGCGAATAGGAAATCGCTTGATACACAGGCGAAGACCTGTTTTGGTCGAAACGTTGCGAAATATTAAGGTTTAAAGGAGCAGATTAAGCAGTGCTGGTTTTTTATCACTTCATAAAAATATATATACTTTTTATATAAATATAAAATATACTTTTTCAGCTTCTGGTCAACATTGGTGCAAATCTGGCATAAATTAACAGCAAGTTTTCTGCAAATAAACAGGTCATGTGTTCAATTTGGACTTTTATTGTTCCTTTGTATTTGGTTATTTCCTGTTTTCAGTTGCCATTTTATAGTTTTGCTGTCGATATGACGATATTATCATACATCAACAGTGTCTGGCAAGTACGATCAGACGATCATCGACAATATGGGGAAAAATGACTAATATATTTCACATAGCCCCATACACATTTATTTACAATATTCAATTCAAGTTCAATATTTTCTATAGATTAGTAGTTAGTAGGGTTACGAATAGAAAATCGATTCCAATTCTGATATCAGATAGGCCTACTTAAAGGGATAGTTCACTTTGAAATTAATTTTTGGTATGTTTTAGCTTACCTCAAGGGCATCCAAGATGTAGGTGTCTTTGTTTCCGCAGTAGTTTCAATTTTGATATTTTTAGGTCAAACCGTTCTTGTCTGTCAGTCATATAATCGGACGTACAACCTAGAAGCGCTGCGCTGTTACACTACGTGAAATCTCACGGTCGTACAGAGAAGGAAATGAATAGTTGAATAAAGTCGTTATTTTTTTTTATTTTTTTTTGAGCCACTGTAGTCACTCGGACTATTTTAACGATATCTTTCATAACTTTTGGGCCGGCCAGTTTCGATCCCTAAAGAAGCCTATGGAGGAGTGATCCAGCTCTCAGATTTAATCAAAAATATCATAATTTGTGTTCAGAAGATGAACGAAAGTCTTACGGGGTTGAACAACATTAGGGAGAGTAATTACTGACAGAAGTTTCATTTTTGGGTGAACTAACCCTTTAAGTTCCCTATTTCCTGGCTTTTAGTTTAGCTCTTATCACTTATTAAAACCCTTGCACTTTGAGCCACTAGCTTCAGCCTGGCCTTTCCCTGATCCTGCCTGCATGTTTATTACAACACTCTTTATCAAAGAGTCTGCTGATTTTGATCATGTAAGTGTCATGATACTGTCCCCACCAAATCCGTTGTATCCGTCTCCTCCGTATCCACCCCGGCCTCCTCCGTACCCTCCTGTAAACAGGGTTCAGTGTGTTTAGCACAGTGTTATTCACACCTGAGGTTGTGCTCTACACACTCACACACAGGATCAGATGTACAGTATCACATGTCACATATCACCTCTGCCAAAGTTGTCACCTCCGAAGTTTCCTCCTCTGTTCATGAAATTATCCCCACCTCCACCTCCACCTCCACCTCCACCGCGATCTGAGAACGCACCCGACACAGCACGTTATATATTATTAGCAATAACCACATGCATTGCTTTGAATATTACAGTCTCAATTTATCATGAACCTTTCAAAATGGTATTTCTATTAAACATGCTACTTACATCTCTGATTGGAACCAGACTGCATCTCCTGCTTTGGAAGGGCTTTTCTTACTTCACAGTTATGAGAGTTGATTGTGTGATATTTTTGTGCTGATGACAAAGGAAAATTAATCATTTTAAAAAGGCAAAACATAGATCTGTTAGCTCAGCTACTGTATAAAACCTGCAAGAACGGGTATTTCTTGCCATAATATGGGTAGGTGACACAGCATGTTTGTGACCTTTTATACAGTTATGGCCAAAATGATCTCCCTACAAGTTCGATTAAACAATCAAAATATGAAGATGATATTTTAGGCTTTTTAAATACTTTAAATATGAAGAAAAGAACAAAGGTATTTATCTGATGAAATGATGTGCCAGAACAACAACAAATGCAGAGAAACACAAAAAGATCACAGGGAAAAGCTTACACATTGACTACAACATAATCAGTTATATTTCGTTTATTCTCTCGTTTTTGCAAGTGTTCATAATTACGGTAACACTTTAAAATAAGGTCTCCTTTTATAACATTAGTTAATGTATTAACTAACAATGAGCAATACATTTGTTACAGTATTTATTTAATCTTTGTTAATAAAAATACAGTCGTTCATTGTCATATTCATGTTAGTTCAAGGTGCATTAACTAATGTTAACAAATACAAGTTTTGATTTTAATAGTGCATTCGGAAATACTGAAATTAACATTAATAAATGCTGTAGAAGTGCAGTTCATTATAAGTTCATGTTAACTAATGAAACCTTATTGTTAAGTGTTTCCATAATTCATTTTTATGACAGCCTGCCCGAAACTTGTGTCACAAATAACACAATTATCTCCAAGTACAACTACACAAGAGCTTTCACAATCTTTAACACATTTTTAATAATATTTGAATAAAGAGTGATGTCAATTTTCCATCACTTTTGGCCGCTACTGTAAACCAACATGAAGATTTTAGCTAAAAATAAATTTATTTTAGTGTATTATTGAGTTTTAATTTAATTTTGTAATTTTCACTTAAATAGTATTTTGCTAAAAATTTGTAATATTTACACTGAAGTACAAATATTCCATGTGATGTATATCAATTAATGGCAGTTCATTTAAGCTGCATGCACGATAATTAAAAAACAACCAGAAAAAAATGCTGTTTTAATAGTTTTAGATGGACTATTTTACCCATAAACTATATATTTCGAGTCTGTGTGTGACTATCAGATGAAAGTAAATGGTTTCCATCTAAACTCACCAACAATTTTATCCACAGTATCATGATCATCGAAGGTGACGAAGCAGAATCCTCTCTTTTTGCCAGTCGAACGCTCTTCCATTATGTCGATGGTCTCGATCTTCCCGAACGGCTCGAAGTACTCTCGGATGTGATACTCCTCTGTGTCCTCCTTGATCCCCCCCACAAAGATCTTCTTCACTGTCAGATGGGCTCCAGGTCTATTCGAGTCCTGGATAATCAAAGCACATCCATTTATAGCAGAATCATGATTTATGAAGGAGGATCATGTGACACCGAAGACTGGGGTAATCGCTCGTGTAAATTCAGCTTCGCATCACAGAAATAAATTATATTATGAAGTATATTCAAATAGAAACCCATTATTTTAAATTGTAATAATATTTCACAATATTACAGTTTTTTCCAGTATTTTTGATCAAATGAATGCAGCCTTGATGAGCAAAAGAGACTTCAAAAATATTAAAAATACTAATGTTTCCAAACTTTTGACCTGTACACTGTACATCTTAATTAAAGTAAATGATGCTTTTTAATGTTTTTCTTTTCCTTTAGTGTGTAATGTGTCTGTTCCTGCATATATAAGATCTGTAAAGTTACAAAGCTCATAGTCTCCCACAAAGGGATTTATTTAACATAAACACTGATCCAGACCTTCCTAAAACCCCTCGATCCGAGTCCAGATTTACCAAACCTCTGCAAACATCCACGTCACAATGTGAAATATTAGCATAATGCCGGTCGAAGAGAGAAGACGAGGCTTCGGTGAATTGTACACTGTAAAAAATCTCAACGCATTATATTTAGTTTCTTTATGTTTTTTTTGTGTGTATTAATTACTCTCAAAAGTTTCTTTTTTTAAAATTTGTCCATTCAAATTCACTTGACAAATCAATTTTAAAAAGTATTTGAATTCTGATAAAAGAAATTCTGAATTGAAGATCATTTTGAGCGTTAGGGTTTACATTAAAAAAAGCACATTATTTTTTACTAGGGATGTCCCGATCAGGTTTTTTTGCCCTCGAGTCCGAGTCATTTGATTTTGAGTATCTATCGATACCGAGTCACGATCCGATACTTATAAAATACATAAAAAAAAGAATAAAGAAAAAATAAAGAAGAGAGAAAAAACTGATCCAGGACGTTTCTTATTTTTTATTTAATTCACCTTATTTTAACATTCAACAACTCTGTTAACAAACAGAGCCCTTCTGTGAGGTAGCTTGAACAATCAAGTAATAAATAACATAAAATCTTCACTTTTGGACTTTAGTGCAACAGTAAATATAGAAAAAGTCTAATATAAAAACAAATAGCACCTCAACTTAAAATACCCGGCAGGCATGTAAACAAAAAATAAAAATGTTTTAAAAGTGTATAAAAAAATAATGAGAATATATATATACATTAGGGGTGTAACAGTTCACAAAATTTGCGCTTCGGTTTGATACGATACAGCAAAAAGAAAGAAATGCCAGAGAAATGTCCTATTTATTAAAAGAAAAACTATTTTTAAATAAGTTTGAGTTTTCCTACATCTTGAAACTTTCAGGTTTATAAATGGGGGTAATCTTTGAAGGATGAACAAATAATGTTTTGGTAATCACATTAAAAATAACATTTAAATATATATTTATATAATATTTGAGTTTTGAAGTGCAACATTAAATCCATGTTCATTCACGGCACAATGATTCTCCTGGTGTCCACGTGAGCGCTGTTTGATCTAATAGAGATCTACGGTTAATAACGGAGAAATGTGAATGCTTCTCACTAGATCTCGCAGCGATGTTATTACTTCAGTGGCGAACTCAAATGTGTTCTTCACTGGATCTCTTAGCACAGTGTCGCTTGATCTCGCGCTGCACAGATGTTGCTGATAAATGGCCCGTTAAGCACAGTATAATGAGTAGCGCAGTTTCGTTCCGCTTTCATAACGTTTGCCATTTGATGTTGCGCAACGTTGTGGTGGTCGCGCCAGCGCCGATTTTGTCTGCAGGAAAAATGGTCCTAGGAATCGTTCGGTTTGTATGCGTACCGAACCGGAAGCCTCGTACCGAAACGGTTCAATAATTACGAATAGCGTTACACCCCTAATTTACATATATCCGAGTCCTGATCGGGAGGTAACCTCCGATTCCGATCGAGTCTGAAACCACGTGATCGGGCCCGATTTCCGATCGCGTGATCGGATCGGGACATCCCTATTTTTCACACACTACATTATTGCAGCACCTCTATTCTCAGTCTGTCTGAAACACTCTTGCTGCGTCCCAATTCGCATACTATCCGTCCTAAATAGTATTCGAAAATAGAATTAGTACGTCCCAAATCGTAGTATGTTGAAATGAGTGTCCCAAAGAGACCCGGATGGTCTACTATATCCGGTCAGAATCCGAAGTGCAGATCGTTGCACACTCTAACGGCTGATATTGCCCACAACCCATCGCGCGCTGGACGAGGATTCGGTTAGAACTACAAACACGAGTGAAAAGTGTTAAAAAACTACAGACATGGAGGACGAAAGAGTCCGGCTTTATAGAGAGGTCTAGATAAAGGGGTTTGAGTGATTAATTATCAGTTTATAACCTGACGAAAATGTATTTATTCAATGTTGTCTACATTATATTGCATCTACAGCACATTGTGAACTTTTATAAAGATACGTTTAGCCATTAACTTTTAAATGCATCATTACATTCAAATTGCAAACACACGAGGAGAGTCTCCGCATGAAAGACCCACGACTGGCGGATGAACGTGCGAAAACATTTCTCTCCGAATCGGTAAGAAATTATATTCGATTGAGTTTAAGTTTTCGATTTAAGTTTTTGAGTTTCGATTACAGGATGCACGCGACAGAGCTGTCCGTTAAAGATGACGAAGTAGTATGTCCCAAAGCTTGCCTACTCTTTTGCTACACACTTAAAAGTATGCACTTTTTCTTCACAAAAAGAGTACATACTTTTAGGGCGTAGTATAAGTTGGCGAATTGGGACGCAGCATCTGATTTCTACAAAGCCCCTCCTCCTGAACACCTCAGAGTGCTCTGATTGGCCAGACTTCTCAAGTGTGTCAGAAATGTAACGATCGTGAGCTTCAGCTTCTAAAGCACCTGTAAACACACAGTTAATAATGTGTCTGTATTAATCTATCAGTTTAAGCCCGATTCTGAAAGTCCAGATGATCGGAACCAACTTCGCAAGCACAACTTGTATACAGCTGGCGTTACTCTCCCGGGTTCAGGAAGATGTCCTCTGTGAAATGTGTTGTGGAAACGTTTGGGTTGCACTGCTTAAGAACAGTGAATGTAAACCACTGATTCCTGATTTCATCCGGTTTCGGACGGCCAAATTAAAGGGTTTTGCTTCCGCATGCAAACACAGTGACTACACTACACTTTCACCACGCCAGCCCTACATGGAGTATATTATCTCTCTGAATTATGAGTTAACGTCTTGCAATTTAGACTTTCTTTCTCAGAATTGTGAGTTTCGAATACAATTCTGACTATATTTCTTGCACTTCAGAGTTAATCTCTAGTGGTTTTGAGTTGGTATCCTCCTGCAATTCAGACTTTTTTTCCTCAGAATTGTGAGTTTATATTTCACAGTTCAGACTTTATTTCTCGCAGTTACGAGTTTAACTCAAAATTCAGAATTGCAAGATTTTGACTCAAAATCGCAAGAAATACACTCTGAATTGCCAGAATAAAGCCAGAAACTCACAGCTCTGAGAAAGAAAGAGCGATATGCGGCATTAGGGCTAGGGCTGGGCGATAAAACGATAACGATAATTATCGCGATATAATTTTTCTCGATAAAACGATATCAAGAGTTCGATAAATGTTCGATAATGTTGATGCGCCAAAAGCGGAACGAAACTCATTTGAACCGCGCGCGCCTCACGGACTGTTTATCCGCTCGGCTCAAAGTCCAAACGGCAGCACAGCGCGAGCTCACTAGAGGAGATGGATGCGTTTACTCTGATCGGCCTCGCTCACGAGATCCAGTGAAGCGCTTGAATTCAGCGAAGAACACAAATGACTCGGTGATTTAAACCAGTTTAAAGGCAGATGAAACAGAGCTGACGAACAGGAGAAACACTGCGCAACGATACAGTCAATCTGAATTGATACTGAATCCATTTACCATGGATGATACTGGATCCATTTACCATGGATGATACTGAATCCATTTACCATGGATGATACTGGATAACCAATGGTTAATTTTAATAAAACTCAAACAGTCAGAATATTACATTTTACCAAATAAAAATGTGGTTGTTAATTTTTTTTTAACAGATGTTACTGTTTTTGTTAATGAACATAAATTTAACATAGTAGTATTAGCTTGAGTTAAGATGCAGATTTACTGTCAACTCACTGTCAAATATGTGTTTCGGGATAAAATATGTAATATTAATATGTGCTGAAGATACGTGCCATCAAAGTCAGGCAACACAAACCTGTTGCAAGACTTGAAACAATATCCCCCATTAGCACATGCAGAAACTAAGAAATATATGTTTAGCAAGTGTTTGTCATGATATGTTCTGACAATAAAGAGTAGTTTAAAACCACAATTAACGCACTTTCACTTAGGAGCAAAAATCTGCCTTTAAACTTGAAAGAAATAAAGATTTGGCATTTATCGTGATAATTATCGATATCGACTGATATAAAAAAATTATCGTGATACATTTTTTTGCCCATATCGCCCAGCCCTAATTAGGGCTGACGCGATAACCGCAATATTGACAAGCCGACCGCAGAGGAATGCAAGCAACCGCGATATTCGCCTGTTTTTTTTTTTCATAAGGCTATACCCTTCTTGTTTTGAACTTCGTGCATGTGTATTGAATGTTGAATAAGTTAATAATGATAACAAGACTGTTTATCATGGTGATTTGTACAGAGGCTTCGTGGATTTGCACTTAAGCCCCGTTCACACTTTGTCGCTGGAGGGCGTTCCCACTGCTGGTAGCCTAGTAATGTTTGTGAGTGACATTCACGGATGTTACTCTATGTTAGACAACAAATACGTTTTCTTGCCGCTACAAACAAACATTTTGGAAGGAAAAGTCGAAATATAAATGGAATCAGTACATAAAATGGATAATATTAAAGATGAACGAGAAACAGTGAGTGATCTTTGCCATCGCGGCTATTTAACTGCAGAAAACGGGCAAATACCAGTCTATCTGGGT